TCCCAAAAGACGCAGGAATGAGTAGTAGGATTTAAGAGTGTAATAACGGACTGAAACAGCAGATGGCAGCACTGCTGAGAAACCACGACTAAGGAAAAGCAGCAAGAAGAGATTTGTTTGGGCCGAGAAACACAAGGACTGGACATTAGACCAGTGGGAATTTGTGCTTTGGTTTGATGAGCGTAGAGCTGTGATCTTTAGTTCCACCTGCCGTGTCTTTGTGCAGAAAAGGTGAACGATGGTCTCTACACGAATGGTTCCCACGGAAGCATGGAGGAGGAGGTGTGAGGCACACTGACCCAGCATGGCTGCCACAGCATCCTGCCATCAAGTCTCATTCATGGAGTCCCACAGGGATCAATATTAGGACCACTGCTCTTCATGTAACGTGTCAGTGATTTCATTAATTCCTCTAATATTCTACACAAAGTAATATTAGCACAACAGATCTTTAACAAATGAATATAAACGAGGAAATGATCAAGGCCATGCCATGAAGTTGGAACGTCTGGAGGTTCATGCTGACAACTTTGGGAACTCTAAAAGGCATCCCGATGACTTCCTGAAGAAATGATTTAAATATGTTGCAGTTTTAAACAAAGCTCTTCTTCCATGTGAAGCTCTTGCCGGCCTCCAAGCCGCACTCAGTGTGCTGTGATGTCCCGACACCTTGACAGGACGCAGAGCTACATGAGCTCGGGGTAAACGCTTCCTCTGTAGGCTCAGGGTGACCTGCAGAGGTCCGCAGCTTCGGTTCAGCCCTCCTGGAGCTTCTCTCAGAGGCATTTTTGAGGTTCAAGCCCAGTTCGATCTAAACTAAGGTCATAAAATCAGACTTTCACCATCCTGCCTGCAGACACGTTCCTTTCTTTGGGATGGCAGACGTCTGTTTAACAGGAAAGCGATGAGTATTTCTCTTCATCATGTCCGTCCGGACCTGTCATGTGTCACAGACTGTGTTTGGAAAGGTCAAAGTTTACTATCATCATCACCACACTTTGATAACTCTCACCTATCACAGTTTGATTGGGCTCATTCAGAGTTACTGCTGGAGGCGTTTAAAGGCGGCCCGGTCCCAGAGGTACCCTGCAGACGCTCGGGTGGTGATGTGAGCACAGGCACACACCTGGAAGCGTGTGAGGGACGATGCTGCAGTCACATTTGCATCGGTTCACGTGTTTCCGAAGAGTTTGTGTGCGACGGCTAAAACCTTTGTGTTGGTCTCTACAGGCTGACCTGTGTGCGAGGAAGGGAACGTACCCGGATGCACATTAAAGACAAGAGCAGCGCCTGAAAGCTTCACGCCTGCTTATCAAACGCGCTGCGAGACCTGCGGTCGTGGACGCCGACCCACCTTGGCCCACCAGCTGGACAGAACAAAGTAGGTGTTGACGTTCTCCTCTCCAAACTGCTCGGCCACGTACAGCCCCAGGGAGCCGTATTTGTCGTAGATGTTCTTCTTGGTGGCGTCCACCAGGATGGAGTGGGCGTTATTGATTTCCTTAAACTTGTCTGCTGCTTCGGGGTTGTCCGGGTTTTTGTCTGGGTGAAACTTCAGCGCCAGCTTCCTAAAAACAACAAAAAAAGAAAGAATCAAAGGAGCGAAAGTCTGAGCTGCTTATTCACTTTAACGTGGGACACCTTTCACTTGCTTCTGTATCTCCGCAGCTTCTCTGATTATTGACACACATTTTTATTTCTGTTTTCTTTTGAAACTGACACAGAAGAGTGAGAAACCCGTGGTTATTATTTACTCAAATTAAACAGAAGAATGAATTCAAACGTGCATTTTCAGAAAATATATAAAACAGAGACTGAACAGGAAAAAGGAGGAAATGAGTTTAAACGATGTTGTGTGTCGGGATGAATCGGGTGTCATTTTCTGACTTTCCTCCACAGCTGTGTCAGAAACAGGAAAAACATTAAAGATGAATCAGCTCTCTGCTGTTTGGCTTTGGAAGGTGAAGCTGTGGCAGGAAAAGCTCCTGCAAGCTGACCCGTGTGTGAGGAGGGGGAGTCACAGACAATCCTTTCAACATGCTCTATAACCTTTGACCCTGGCTCCCTCTAGTGGCCAACTGCTGCACTTGTGTGTGTGTGCGCACGCACCTGTAGCATTTCTTGATGTCCTCTGTGGTGGCGTTCTTGTCGACCCCGAGCACGGCGTAGAGCGATTCTCCTGATGTGGACAGACTCCTCTGTCTCTGGTGATCCATGATCTCTCTCTCTCTCTCTGTGCTTCTCTCACGGGCTCGCTCGCTCACTCAGCCTCACACCCGTCAGGTAAACCCAGAAACAAGTTTGAGGATACGAGCCTTTCACCTGCAGCCTCAGTGTGTCCTTATCTCTGTGAGAACACAAAGCGTGGTAATGAGGTGATGCGGTTGCAGGTAGAGCAGATCACACCTGCGCTGCACCTGGGAAGCCGTCGCACTCGTTCCCGAGCTGGAGCTGAACTCAGTCAGGACTCTTACAGCCTGAAATTACCTGACGATGACCTGCATCGGGTCATCAGAGCTCTGTTTACACTGTCTGGGGGACAGGAAGCTGCTGAGCAGGGTTTGAGCTTTCAGAGTAAGAGCAAGGGGCCGGTCAGCTGGGACTGCCACCCTTTAACTTCCAAAAACAAGTGTGAGGCTGAGGATAAAGCCGACAGCCTGATCAGTTTAACCTGAACACTGAACACGCTGTACTCCATCATTTATGACTATGTGGATTTTGCATTTACAGTTTTGCTATTACAAGTTTTTGTTCTGTTGCACTGATGGGACTCTGGGACAGGAATGAAGTGAAGAGCTGGCAGATATAAGTGACAGGACCAGGCTGGCTGTGGGGGGACGCTGTAGTCTGAGTCGGGTGGAGGCCCGCAGGCCGCGCTGTGTGGAGGACAATCCAACCCTCAGCAGGCCGATGACTGTGAAACAGCTCCGCTTTAACTTGATCTGTTAGAGGTGACGGCATGTCAAACACAGCTCTCACTCCCAGGGTGCCCCCCGGGGAGGTGTGCCCAGCCCCTGCTGAGCAGAGCCCTGACATCATGGTGCTCAGACCCGGGAGCTGACTGCAGGCTGCAGGGCGGGGACAGCTCTATGGAGGGCGGGCAGCACAGCGTATCAGCCGCTGCCATCAGGACACCGCTCAAATATCTTACAGCTGATCTTCCACGGTCACAGGTAGACACCGCAACCCTGCACTACAACCACTACAGTGTCATCACCAATCTGTGTTTATTCTTTTTATTCATCGATATTTTCTTATTTAGATGCTCATTTTATTTGTGCCTTTTTCTGACGTGCGTCACAATGTAAGTCCCGGTGATGACGTGTGGTCGATATGACAAAGAAAGCAGTTCATTCAGAGTAGTTTGGTTCTGATTTTGATTTTAATATTTGTTTGGAAACATCAGCTGACGGTCTACACCCGCAGGTCGTCTTTCCTCCTGCTGTTGCTTTCACAGACACTGAGACGCTCACCAGACCGTCACACGGCGGCGACGGTCCAGGGAAAACCTGGATTAATATGAGACGAGCAACTTCCTGCTTCCCGTCTGTGAGCCGCCTCCTCGCGTCCACTAATCCGCTAACGCGCTGCTGCGTGCTTTAAGAGGAGAAAGGAATAAACGGTTAAAGTCAGGTAACCCGAGCTCACCTGAGAGCCGGCCGGGCAGGAGCAGAGGGGAGAGAGGTTTACTATCCGTGTCCTGAACTTGCTCATTGTGTTTAAAGCAAATCTGACACGTACGAGCTGCAGTGACCTGCAGCAGGTGTGCGCGAGTGCAAAGGTGCGTCACCTGCAGCGCTGCTTAGACTCAAAGATCTGAAACATTGAATCTGTACTGACAGTGCATCAAATGTCCAGGTTAGTCCTCTACACATACCTGGATCTAGATAAGCACTTCTCAGCTGGGCCTTTCTAAGCTCCGCCCCTGAGAAAAACGATGGTGACATTACCACAGAGATGACGCTTTCATACTGACGGCAAAATTCTGAGTTATGACCTCAAACTCGTAGCCGAGGGAGTCGCTGTTGTCAGAGTGGCTGAACGAAGGATGAGCCGAGTGCTTTCTTTAACAGGTTATAAGGAAATGATCGTCACGGCTTCGTCCATGCTCCACCTCTCCACCAGGGGGCGTGAAATCCCCACAGAAGATTCATTTTATTAATTTGCTGAACGGCCCCTTCGGTCAGCGAAGGGATAAAACTCATTCATAACTCCACCACAGGAGAATCTTTAAATCTGGTGCAGTCCTGACTGAATGAACGTGAGAGTGGAGAGATGCGAGCAGGTGCGCTCACCCGGCAGTGCGTGAAAACAAATCCACCTGCAGTGTTTCTTCATGCTAATCGAAGAGACCACAGTACAGGCGGGAAACGGTGCATCTTCCTGCAGAGGATTGCACACTAGCCGTCCCGAGCAGGAACACCTGAGCTGTGAGGAGGCAGGTGTGCAGGGGGTTAGCAGGCTTAGAGACCACAGTAAGCCAATTCAACACAGACTGACGGAGTAGACTTAAATATACAGGAAACCATCTGCCCACACAGCTCGCCTCTCTGATGAGCTGTAACCACACACCTGACGCATGCAGCGCTGCTCTCTCCACAACAGTCCACTTCCACTCCTGAGTGTAAACGCCAGAGTAAAAGCAAAGAGTGGTGTGTCCTGCACACGTGCGACCCCGCACTGACATTTTCAAACTTCCTGCACATACAGCCAGTTCACAGCCTGTATATAAACGATGGAGGCCGCCTCCCTGTTGTCACCCATTGGTCCGCAATTTTAGCATTTTGGTCTCGGCCATCTTGGTTTAATGGAGTGACCATGGCTGCGTGCCAATTAAGAGACTGCACGCTTGAAGTACGCGTACTACGCACGGTGCGTGCTATGAGTACGAGAAGTGCGGAAGTGCGAGGCTTGTGAAACGGGACGGTCTGGCCTTCGTCGCGCTGTTCAGGTTGCCTAGCAACCATGATACAAACCGCGAGGCACGTTACATACGGCTTTGTGTGACAGAAATGAAGGAGAAAAATGTTTTGTTGGTCATTCATTTTTGTCATGACATCACTTTGATGAGGCTGAGACCACAGGACTGTAAAACATGATTGTTGGGCTGAACAGTCATTTAAGATTAGCTAGTAAATAACAATCAGCTGATGTTGTTCATGAGACTAAAGTCATCTCACTGTGGTGATGTAAATATGGACAATATTATAGTATTGTCAGATTATTATGAGATCTATTAGGGGTGCAGCGATATTCGTATCGATATTGAACCGTTGGATACAGTGCTTTCCGTTCGGTACGCATATGTATCGAACAATACAACATTTGTAATTTATTTTATCAGCTTTCCTTCTGACGATGCTGTCTGTGTTGAGCGCTCAGTGGATCTG